GATGCCCCGGGCTCATCTTGTATTTTCCTTGCCCCAGTTCTGGAAACAACCACTTCGAGGAGCCTCAGCCCCTTTTATGGGAGAACGTTGAGAAGCCACGATCTCGGGGCTGCCTGTGCTCATAGCTGCTGCTCTGTCCATTGCTCAGAGCCCTCTCGGGGGTGGAGCCAGCAGGGTGTGCACTCATTCATGCACACGCACAGCTGTGTTTACTTCGGTGTGCATCTGTCTCTGGATATCTCAAAACACCATGAGTTCACCCTGACATCTCTGATTGCAAACCACTATCACAGGATTCATGCTGGACTTCCTGCTTTCTGTATTTGTAACTTCTCCAACAGCGAGAAGTCTGGGTCTCGTTTCCTGCAGTATGTGTACTTATCCGTCCAACCCTAGTATGCATGAAAGTGCTTCTAGACTGCTAGCCCATAGTCTGATGAGAAGCACTTTGCTAAACAGAGTATAGAATTTGTGTATAGTTTCTGATGTTAGAGCATCCATCAAAATGCTGTTTTTTTATTTTTTTTTTTTTATTTTTTTATCCTCACCCGAGGACATTTTTCCATTTTTTGTTCAGGTAGAGTAGGAGGGAGAGAGAGGAACAGAGAGAGAGAGAAACATCGACGTGAAAGGAACACATCGAGTGGCTGCCACCCGCACGACCAACCAGGGCCGGGGACAAACTGCAACCGAGGTACATGCCCTTAGCGGGAACCGAACCCGGGTCCCTCTGGACTGCAGGCCGACGCTCTAACCGCTGAGCCAAACCGGCCAGGGCAAAAATGCTGTTTTTTTAAAGTTACTTTGAATGTGCTATTTTTTGACAAACCAAATAGTTATTAGAATTGTGTTAGAAATAGGAGAAAATGAAAAAAAAGGAAAAATATGTAGTAAATTAAGGAATTGGGGCTACTTTTTGAGGAAATTGTGTACTTTGTGTGTTTATGTATATGTCTCTTAATTCTTAGACTTTTGGACTTTGTGTTGGTTGCTTGGAGATATTTTAGATTATTTTGATTCAGTTATTAGTTTGCCAGAGAGCTGTAGTAATATATTAACCCAGTATTTATATTTCTTTATTTAATTGATGCATTATTAAAACTCTTAAATATGCAAGACAAAAATTTTTGCTTTCGATATGTATGTAAAAAGTTAGGCCATAGTGTGTGAGGATGATGTATTGTGCCTTTTCAACCTGATCCCTTTCACCTATTACTTTAAAAGAACTAGGTAACCTACATTTTTTTTTCTTTAAAGATAGTTTTACTGGTTTTGCTAGAATGCTCTCGTATTCCTGCAGAATGTCAGTCCCATTGTGCATTACATATCTGTACAGTGGCCAGACTCGTTCTGTCGCTCAGTTGTCTAGAAGAGACTGGGTTTGAGAAAGACTGGGAAAGATTGTCTGCTGGTGATATATGAATAACCAAATTTAAAAAAGAAATAAAGGCCAGGAGAGAGAGAAAACCTTCAAGTCCCAAAGGTTTCTCACCTTTCGTAGAGATCTGATTCGGATGGTGCATGGCAGCGACTGAAATGCTGGACAAGCTACAGTCACGACTGAACGGGGGCCGTTGGAAATGCCTTAGAAGAGATGAAGCAAGGATAGGGTTTGGGACTAACCAGAAGCATGTTTGAACTGGAAAGCATTGTCAGAAGAGAATGGTTGCATATTTGTAAAGGTTTTAAAAACAATGGCAGTTGTATTTGCTCCAACTCCCATATTTCTTGGTGAGTCAAAACCCAGAAGAATGCCTGTGTATAGTGTCAGTCTAGTGAACTGAAGAAGTAACTCCATTCGATAGCATCTGGGTGAATGTCATATGCATAGCCAGCTTACTGAGAAAAAGTAAGTGTATATTACAGTGTATAGTATGTTAAATATCACAGAGAATACGTGCTGTCAAAGTATAAGGAAAGTGGAAATATATTCGTCACTAGTGTTCATGCTCTGTCTACCAGAGACAACCAGGCTTCAGCGGCTGTCTTTGGAGGATTTGCCAGGCAACACCATTCAGTGGGTCTTGTAAGGATTAATTGCTGGTTGAAGTCATTAATGTTACATTTATCAAAGAGTTTAATGAAAATATAGAGTATGGCCTTGGCCGGTTTGGCGCAGCAGTTAGAGCGTCAGCCTGCGGTCCAGAGAGACCTGGGTTTGGTTCCCGCTAAGGGCACGTACCTCGGTTGCGGTTTGTCCCTGGCCCTGGTTGGGTCGTGCGGGAGGCAGCCACTCGATGTGTCCCTTTCACGTCGATGTTTCTCTCCCTTTCTCTCTTCCTCTCTCTCCCTCCCACTCTATCTGAGAAAAAAAAAAAAAGGAAAAATGTCCTTGAATGAGGATAAAAAAATAAAATAAAATATAGAGTATGAAGTGGCATCTCAGAAAAGCCATAAAAATTATCTCACTGGTTTGATGATGGGACTCAAACTTTTAACTGTAACTTCCACCTCATTGTTATAGTAAGTTATAGTAGCATTACAACAAAAATGATTGATTATAGATTATTCCTGCCCTTTTCCTTTTCCCCTCCTCTCAGTCTTTAAATTTATTTTTTTTAACTTTTCCCCTCTTTTTTTTTCCCTTTCTTTTAAGCCTCCTTCCAATATGTTCCTGATCTGCAAGGAGTTTGTTTATTGATAAATAAATAAAGGGAAGTTAAAGGACTCCTCGAAACAGATTCTTTTTAATGGACTGAAAATATATATATTACAAGTTCTGAAAACCACTTGTAACATAAATTCCTCCTTGTCTACACAGCCCTCTGCTCTGTTCCAGCCCCTTCTCATCACAGAGTCTTTTATAGAATTCGGTCAATAAATTACATATCTCAATATACTCTCTGTTTTTGACAAAGCTAAACAGTATTTGAAAACAGAAACCCGGTCCAAAATGAATTACCAGAGTCATCAACATAGGACTGCGTGGTGCCGGTCCCCTCCACGCCGGTCCTGCTGTAGAACACCATGCGGGCTGGGGCTGCGGGCCGCGAGCATTTTAGAAGCTACTGGATGTCGTTATTGTGAATTTTAAGTCATTTTTGGCTTTTGTGCACAGTTGAGGATAAGATAATTGGCTTAGTTTAGTTTTAAAAAGTCAGTGGTGAATGGTTGGAACTGGAGAGCGTCCTGTTTACCTTTGCAGAAGAAATTTAGCATCGTGCTGATTAGCTCTAATGAACAGTAACTTTAAAAGTATGTAGACAGTACCTTTAAAATTATGTAGACATCTGTATTCAAAATGTATTTTTTGTTTGTTAGTTTTAAACTCAGGGTATATTTTCTCATGAAATGAAGTTGTAATGTTGGTTGAAGCACAATCACAGTACTTCTAGCGATCTAGGTACTCCCCCTAGCTCTGGGATTGTGGCAGGAAGCCGAGGTCTGCGCTCCAGCAGGTAGGGAGGCTGGGAGGGACTGCCCCAGCTGCCAAGCACGCTCAGGTGTGGCTTTGATGTGCGTGGGCCCTGATCCCGGGCACTGATACTGCCTTTGTTGCACATTCCAACTTGTTTTTCTTTGGTTCTCTCCCTCTCTCTCTCTTTTTTTTTGTACAAAAGCTGTACTTGCCCAATAAATCACAGGCTGTATTATAATATTAAGGGGTTCCCCCCCCTTTACATAGTCATTGTGCATGAGCAATTGTAACTTTCAATTGTGAAAGATAATTATAATGTGAAACTCAAATCTGAGTGTTCTTGAAGAAGCTGGGAATATATTGACAGCTTTTCCCTTCAGAATTACTTTAATTTCTTCTACCTTTGTTCGGTATCTTAACTTAAGCTTTTAAAATACGAACTAATTTTCAGAAGAGCTGTTCTTTTCCCCCGTAATGTCAGAATCCCACCAGTGCGAGCAGGCGGACTCCCCGAAGGCTGAAGAGTGATTCTCCTCCGATTTCAATGGCAACACTGCCAACCGGAGGCAGACAACAGAGGCCTCTCCCGCGGGCTGTAGCTAGCACACCTGCACACACAGCTTCAGGTGTATCCCGTCTCCATGCAAGTGTGAGATGCAGGCAGCCGTCAGAGCCTTTGCACATGCCAGGGTGTTAAAGCTTCTCATGTTTTTATTGAAAATTCCCATGTAACGTTTTAAGGGATGACAGAATAGGCCGAGTTACTCTGGAATTAAAGGTTCCATGGTTCTGTCTTTAGCAGGTTTCTGCTCTCCAAGAATGGTTGTGTTTCTTCCAAAGCTATACCCTCCGCATTCCTTTTTCCTTCTTCCCCTCAGCTCGTGTGTGTGTGTGTGTGTGTGTGTGTGTGTGTGTGTCTGTTCCGATAGCACTGGCTAGCGTGGGAGGCCAGGAGCGCTCTGCCTGGGGAGGAACACAGCGGGGCTGTGAGCCCGCCCGGGGACTGGGAGCAGTTTAACAGGGCTCAGCGAGCTACATTCTGGTCCATCCCGACTGCTTTCGGCGAGGCTCTGGATGTGGTGATACTCCCTTTAGATCACAAGGCCTTCTGCGTTCAGATGTGCCCTTTCGGCTTCTAGGTCTCCCCTGCACGTCTTTGTCCTGGTAGGAGGGAGAGGCCTCTGTTCTTCTCTATTTTTATGGTTCTCCTGACTAGTCTTGAGGGTGTCCTTGGCTGCTTCTTGGGTGAGCTTGTGGAGTGGTGCCGGAGAGGTGGCTGGGTTACATCCTGTTCCTTTTCACCCAGGAGCCCTGGCCTGCCCCGCCCCATGTGGTGCCCTGCTGTGTGAGGCAGACAGCGTCTCTGGTCACAGGAGGTGGCTGGGGTTCCGGAGCTCTCGCTGGGGCTGATGAAATCCACGACTTTCCTCTGATGAAGGGGCGAGGAGGACGAGAAGTGGACCCCAGAGAGTGGTCGTGAACTAGGGTGTTCAAACTCCATGCTCCGAACTGACCACCGGTGGCGCAAGGCTTCTGCCCTGACTCACTGGGAGGAAGTAGTTAACGTGGTGAGGAAAGTACGTTTAGTGAAAAAGTGGTGGGCTTTTACTTAATATCATTACAGATACTGCAGAAGATCCTGGCCTTGATCCCTGAACCTTTGAGTAACCCTCCTGGAGAACAGTAGGGGAACGAGAAAGGTAACATCTTTGAAGTGTGATACTAGCAAATGCCAGCCCAGTCTCTGCAATGGTATTCAGAGATGTATTATTAAAAGAAAAGATTTAAAAGAAGTTGCCTGAAGGGCTAGAGTTTTTCAGAGAATTCAGGATTTAAAATACTCTTTTCCTTTTTTTTTTTTTATGATGTGAAACTTTATGATAATATACAAGCAAAAAAGGTAAGTACATTTGCATTGCTACCACAGGGTACATAGAGAAAAATGAGTATAATCTGCTATGAAAATATTTTTATTTGCACCTCAGTGATATTTATATATTTTTGTTGGACTCCATTTTAAATTTAGTTACACACTTAACTCAGTAACACAGAAATAAAACTTAAATTTCAGGAGGCTAAATTAATTTAATAGAATGTTGTAATCACAAGAGTACATGCTAGCTTACCATTTTTCTTTATAGTCAGAGTTTTCATTACTCTAAAATTTCACTTTAAAAAGATATGTGCATAAATTTAATTGGCTGTTTATTAACAAACAAATCCGTTGAGGGCATAGAATCAGTGTGGTTACCTGCTTCTTGAGTTTGATGATGTTGAATTGGGATTACTGACATTTAGCATACATGAACACGCACGTTTTTGTAATTACTTTAGAAATATTCCCTTTATATTAAGTTAAAATTCTTATTCATGAAAAATGAATTTTTGAAGTTTTTTCCCCTCAATTTTTATTAGCGAGAATTGAAGTTTTATGTTTTATTAAGTTGTATTATAATTTGCATAATGCTGATTGGTAGAGGTTGCAGGTGTAAATGTAAATTGGTTTCTGCAATCAGAAAGGCTGGTGCAACTAAGTTTTTCCCCTTCTACTTAGAAATATATCATGACCTATAAAAATGTAGAAAATGAAGAATACATTAGCTTAAGAAAATTTGCACTGAAGGGAAACTAGCATTGTTTTAAAACCCCACAGTGTTTAGTAATTTTGTAATAAATGTTGTGAATTTAATACTCCAGCTAGTAGTGTTTTCAAGAGGGAGGATATTTGTGGATATGTCCCAAGCTAACTAAGCAAGTTAACTTGATACTTATTTTGGAGAGATAAGAGGTAATAAAGCTAAGGCTGTGTAGTTCCAGGTAGTTTAGTAGTGGCAGCAGGAAATGAGCTGTTTGAAAACAGCGGGAGGTGTGATTCAGAGCAGCTGTCTGATTTATCAGCAAGCACGGACTGCTCCCTGTTCGAGAACATCCATTACTCCGCTTCCCATTATCCCCGCTCCGCTGGACGTGGGCTGGGGCCGGAGCCAGGTTGCCGTCGGGTACAATAAACCAAGGCAGCTCCTGCGTTGCACTTGTGTTCTTCAGGTAATTTGTAAATTTATACCCATTGACTATTTTTTTAAAAATCTGTTCGTGACTAATAACCAGACAGTCTTTAACCTGGTCCGTTCTCACCTAGAACGCACCACGTCATCAGCACCAGTCACCTGGCTGTTCCTGCCGGCGACACCGCTGTGCGAGCCAGCGTCCAGTGAGGATTAGATCGCCCAGTGACTGTGATTTCCACACCGGCTAACAGAACTACCAAAATACTGAACATGACTTAATTTTCTGACACTCCTTGGTAAAAGTGATCTTGGAGAATCTCAGCGTAGCCTTAAAATGAAATGCTAATGACTGCTTTTCCAGTGGTACTGCAGTGTTGATAGAACTTGCTGCATTTGTGTCTGCTTCTCCCCCGTGCTCCATGTAGTATTCAGTTTGAACGAGCACTTTTTATACCCCTTCATCCGTGCCAGCTACTGTGCTGAGTGTGAGGGGTACAATCATGAGCCCGCATCAGGCCTGCGAAAGAGCCTGTGCTGAGCGTTTTGCAGAAGGACGGGCCGGAAGGACGGGCTGGAAGGACGGGCTGGGCCGGAAGGACGGGTTAGAAGGATGGGCTGGAAGGACGGGCCGGAAGGATGGGCCGGAAGGATGGGCTGGAAGGACGGGCTGGAAGGACGGACCGGGCCAGAAGGACGGGTTAGAAGGACGGGCCGGGTCGGCCTGCGGTCCGGAGAGACCTGGGTTCGGTTCCCGCTAAGGGCACGTACCTCGGTTGCAGTTTGTCCCCGGCCCTGGTTGGTCATGCGGGTGGCAGCCACTCGATGTGTCCCTTCACATCGATGTTTCTCTCTCTCTCTCTCCCTCCCACTCTATCTGTACGAAAAATGGAAAAATATCCTCGGGTGAGGATAAAAAAAAAAAAAAAAAGGACGGGCCGGAAGGACGGGTTAGAAGGACGGGCCAGAAGGACGGGTTAGAAGGATGGACCAGAAGGATGGGCTGGAAGGACGGGTTTGGAGGACGGGCTGCAAGGTCTGTACCCAAAGCAGACTTGGCATCACGGGGAGACTTGAAATTCAACAGCTACTTTTTTTTAAATTTATTTATTTTTGTTACAGATATTTCTCCTCTTCTTCCACAGACACCCTCCTCCCTATCCACCCCCCAGCACTGTTGTCCGTGTCCACTGGTTATGCATACATGCATATAAGTTCTTTCGTTTATCTCACCCCCCTTCTCCTCTGAGGTGTGTCAGTCTGAACTGTACTCCTTTCTATGTCTCTGGGTCTGTTTTGTTCATCAGCTTATTTTGTTCATTATATTGCACAAATAAGCGAGATCACGTGGTATTTGTCTTTCTCTGATTGACTTATTTCGCTTAGCATGATACTCTCTAGGTCCCTCCATGTGGTCTCAAAGGATAAGAGATCTCTTTCTTACGGCTGCATAGTGTCCATAGTGTATATGTACCACAGCTTTTTTATCCACTCACTGTCGACGGACACTTTGAACACTGACTATGGACCAGGTACTGTGCTGTGTACCAGGTGACGTATAAGACATAGTCTGTGCCTTCCCAAGTGTAGAGTTAAATGGGATCTGAAATGGAAGAATCGCATCACAGCCCGACAGTCCCAGTGTGGTGCGCCGGCCGCTCTAATCCAAGTGTACAGCAGCTGGTATCCAAGTACACAGGACGCCATGCTCAGGGACATGGCCCATGTCTTGGCCACGGTGATGGCTAATGTATTCCTCGTGTCGGGAGGACAGTGCTGTGGAAGTCGAAGTCACAGCACAGCTGGTTGGAACCAGTGGGCAGAGCATGACCGAGGATGTCCGCCGGCTGTTTCTGTTGGAGGGAGTGACCTGTCAGGTGGCATGCTCTGTTTTACTGAGAATAGGAGGGATCTGCTGGTTAAAATGAGACATTTTTGTAAAATAGTTCATTGTCATTGAGGTTCAGTGAACCATGGGCCCACGACATCGGAGCTGATAGAAATAAATCTTTTATGAAAGCGGCGGAGCCGTGGAACATTGGGCCTGGTTCTTAGCTATTTTAGCTAAAAAGCATTTATTGATCACATCCTGAGCACAAAGCCCTGTACAGGGTGCTACGGGGAAGGTAGAAAGGAAATAAAGACCAGGCTTCTGCCTTTGAGGTGTGGAGACAACATAGGATTTTAGATTTGCAAAACCACATCCTCCACTTTTTTTATCCATGAAACCGGAGTGCTCCAATTTAGCTTCTGACTCTGTGGTGATTATTAAATGATGCTGTTTTCGGTGGCCAGGCAGGCTTGGCGGCTGGAACAAAATCCCACAGAACAATGCACAGAAATATATTTCACACAGTTCTGGAGGCTGGAAGTCCAAGTCAGGGTGCCAGCCTGGTCGCCTTCTGGTGAGGGCCTTCCTGGGTCGTAGCCGGTGCCCTCTCACTGTGTCCTTGCGTGGTGGAAGGGGCGAGGGAGCTCTATGGATTCCCCCAGTCTCATCCACCCTTGTGACTAAGCACCTCCCAAAGGTGCCACCTATTGACACCCTCACTCATAGGGGATGCCATCTAAAGGGAAGTGGCAGCTGCTGGTCCTTTGCTACAAAACCACCTGGGTGGGGTGGTGCTGCCGGAGCTGGTAACGGTGAAGTGCCCCACGGTGGGCGCTCATCTTTGCATGAAGGCCCGAGGACTGCGCCAGGGCAGCCATCCTTGGGAGGGTGCTGCTGGGTGCTGGCGTTCCCACAGGGCTGGGAGAGCACATGCTCTCCTGGAGTCCAGGGAGATGAGCACATCAGAACAAATCCCTCTGCAGGGTCCTTCTACTGATGACGCCTGGCGTTGGGCTGCTGGCGAGGGGGACAGAGAGTACCTGCAGCTCCACTGACCCAGAGCAGGCGAGGAAGGGAGACTTGGAGCTGGGAGGCAAAACATGGGTAACTGATAGAAACTGGCAGCTCACTTAACATTTAGGAATATACCAAGTGGTGCCATTAGATGCAATCAGCCAAATTCACAATGTGGATAAACAGCCTAGTTCCTGCAACAAATAAATTGCAAGGAAAGCAATAAAAAGAAATGGAAAGGAAACATGGATTATAAGAGACTTAAAAGATGTATGTATAGACCTTGTTTGAATTCTCATTTCATTGAACCAAGTATAAAAATATTTTTTTATAAAAAAGATTTTGATACAAGAGAATATTGGAACACATTGAATAATTGCTTTAAGCAATCATTGTTCATTTTCTGGGCTGTGATAATGATATTGTGGTTATGTCTTTAAAAACAACTCATCTTTTAGAGATGCATGCTGAACTGTTTATAGGTGAAACGATGTGATGTCTGGGATTTACTTCAGCAGTGTTTTTGTTGCCTTTGTATTTAAATATCAGAGAATGTGAACATCATTTTTCTTAGAGTACACAAGTTATTACTATACAGTAGCCCCCAACCTCAGCTGTATACAGAAGTTATCAATCACAAATGATGACCTGTCTTTAAAATAATGTAATTCGAGTCTTGTTCCTGAGTTTGGTTTATAATGAGCTGTTAGAAATTCATGACGACGGTAACTGGCGTTTCCAGAGGCATTCCATGGCTGTCCTCATGTGCACTGCTTTGACTTGGTAGTTTATGATGTGAGCAAAAGTGTCTCGTGCTTTATAGGATAGTTAATATTGTCTCATGGACAGA